CAACTCTGCTTTGAGGAGGTAGCTCTTCTGTAGTCATAATCTAAGTGCCTTCCAGTCTGAGGGGCTCACCTTCTGGGAGTATATCTGACAAGGTTTCCCTGTTATTCATAAGGTTTTCAGTGGCTAACCACTTAGAAAGATCAAGCCCTGGGATTTTCAATAGCCTCATATGCATGTGAAAGTTGGACAGTGAATAAGGAAGACCATAGAAGAACTGATGCTTTTGAGTTATACTGTTGGAAGAGAATCTTGAAAGTGCCATGGGCTGCCAAAAGAACCAACAGATCTGTGTTGGAAGAAGTGCAGCCAGAGTGCTCCTTGGGAGACAGGATAGCCAAACTTCATCTCTCACACTTTGGATGTATTATCAGGCGGGACCAGTCACTGAAGAAGGACATCATGTTTGGTAAGGTGGAGGGTCAGAGAAAAAGAGGAAGACCCCCAGCAAGATGGATTAGCCAAGTGGCAGCATCAATGGGCTCAAGTGTGGCAACAATAGTGAGGTTGGCCCAGGACCGGGCAGTGTTTCATTCTGCTGTGCATAGGGTGGCTATGGGTCGGTACCGACTCTATGGAACCTAACAACAACCATTTAGAAACGATCTGCTTCTCCTTCTTCCTAGTCTGCCTTAGTCAGGAAGTTCCACTGAAATCTGTCCACCATGGGTGACCCTGCTGGTATTTAAATACCCATGGCACAGCTTTCAGAATCACAGCAACACACAAGCCACCACAGTATGACAAACTGACAGTCTAGTGGTGGTTAGGATTCCTGGTAGGACTCTTTCTATGTTGGATATGAAAACAGACCTACAGAACTGGAAAGCTTTAGGGACGCTGTTGCTAGGTGCCTGTCGAGTTGGTTGATTCATACATAGTGACCCTATCAATGTACAACAGAACAAAACACTGCCCGGTCCTCAGTCATCCTCACAACTGTTGTTACGTTTGAGCCGACTGCTTCTGCCACTGTGTCAGCCCAGCTCATTGGGGGTCTTCCTCTTTTATTTTGACTCTACTTTTCAAGCATGATGTTCTTCTCCAAGGACTGGTCCCTCCTAATAATGTCCAAAGTAGGAGAGACCAACTTTCATCATCCTGGCTTCTGAGGAGCACTCTGTCTGTATTTCTTCCAACACAAATTTGTTCTCCTGGCAGTCCGTGGTATTTTCAATATATTTTGTTGGAGAGCGAATTATTTATTTTTACATTTTGTCACTTCCTCCTCTTGGCTCCCAGAGCTGTTGTGTTGTGTCTTGGGGAGTAAAAGAACATTATGTCAGAGGTTAGGATCCCGAGTTGTGCTGTGGATTAAGCATTGGACTATTTTTACTGATAGTTGGTGGTTCAAATCCACATCCACCAGCCACTCCTTGGAATAAAGATGAGACCGTTTGGCCCAGTAAAAGATTTAGTCTCAGAAACCCTATGGAGCGGTTCCACTCTGTACTGTAGGGTAGCTATGAGTCAGAATCCACTTGACAACAGTGGGTTTGGTTTCAGGGTAGGACATGCCGACCTCACCAAGTGTGGACAGTGGATACAAGAGTATACAAAATGAATGTGACGAATGTGAAAGAAAACAGACTTGCGATTTCTTTACCTTCTTACACTGACGCCATGTTTGCTGCGCTTGTCCCTATGGTTACCCAAGCTGAATAATTTTTAAAAAAGGTTAAGAACAAAAAGTTGACGAATGAAGTGAGAAGAAAGCTTGAGGAAACAGCTAGAAAAGGATGTATGCTGAAATCATATACAACACCTTATCTGTAAAACTCTGAGAGGCAGCAGCAATTAAATAAAAAAAAAAAGAAAAAAAAGCGAGACCATTTTACAAGATTCCTGGAAGTACTGAGAAATGTTGCGTTTTCACGAATTGTTTAATGAGAGTATCTGCATTACTACACTCTTTCTAGCAAAATGCTGAAAACAAAAACCTCAAACACCAACAAAAACCATCATTTGAAAGCTTAAAAACATTTTGTTACTTTTGATTTACTGGTGAGTTGAGCTTTTCCCCGCCCCGTATGCTAATTGGATGCTTATAGTTTCTTTTCTGCAAACATTTTCTCTCTTTCCAATCATTATGGCCTTGCCGGTGTTATTCTGATCGGTTCACATGAGGTTGTTATGTCTTAGGCATCGTCTGCTGGATGTGTTGCTAGTAGTTTTGAGTCACATTCATACTTTTAAGACTCACCAGACACGTACATGGGTTTAGAAATCATCAAAATACAAAAGTTAACTTATACAAAATGACAAAGATCGACTCTGTGCTGCTTGTGTGCTGATGAGTATCGGCCAACTGCCCCATAAACAGGGATGAGTGACCGGTCTACACCCGCGCAACTGCCCTCGGGTGGGTTCCCAGTTACTGTTGTTAAGTCAGAACCAACTCAGTGACCCTATACAGCATTCCTGGGGAGCAGTGGGTGGGTTTGACTGGCAAATTTCCTGGTTAGTAGCCCAGTGTTTATCCCACACCAGGACTCCTGGCTCTATATAGGGTCTCTGAGGCTGTATATCTTTACATGAGCATAATGCCCCTTTCTCCCTTGGTGCAGCTGGTGGGTTTGAACTGCTGACGTTGAGATTAACAAGAGTACTTATTGTATGGAGTCCTGGTGTGGCACTGTAGGCTAATGCGTTTGAACTAACTGCATTGTCGTTTGAACTGCAAGGTCGGTGGTACAATCTCATCAGCTCTTTGAAAACCCTATACAGGGCCACTATGGGTCAGAATCGACGCCACGGCATTTAACAACAACTTATTGTACAATGCAGCCCAGGCTCCTTTAGGAATACCTACAGGCAGGGTTGGGGTCCTGGTGTGGCGCTGTGGGTTGATGAGCTAGACTATAAAGCCATTTGTACTTCAAGGCTGGCGGTGCAAGCTCACCAGCTGCTCCTCAAAAACCCTACACATGGTCACTATGGGTGGGTTGGAATCGACTTGATAGCACTTAACAACAGGAGGCAGGGTTAAAGTTTTGTGATTGTGATGTGCCATGGAGCCAGAAGACTGGATTAAAAAGCAGTCTTATCACTTTTCCTTTGTCAGTTGGCACCCTCCCGGGGACCGATGGACATAAAAGTTGGAATAAAACACTGTTGTTGAATGCTGTGGAGTCGGTTCCGACCCATAGCGACCCTGTACAGGGTTTCCGAGGCTGTAAATCTTTACGGGAGCAGAAAGCCTCATCTGTCTCCCGTGGAACTGCTGGTAGTTTCAAACTGCTGATCTTGAGGTTAGCAGCCCAACTCGTAACCACTAAGCCACCAGAGCTCAACTGGAGTAAATAGAGGTATGCAGTTGATTGGACAGTATATACTAGTTTATCTTGAGGGAACTACCCCTGAAGAAGGAGTGAGAGTGTTTTGTCATGATAGGGGACCATCAGAGAGGACAGACTGAAAATACATCTGGTGAAGATATACTGCCCTCAGGTATTTAATGTGTTATATTAACATCACAATAAATGGAGACAAGATTGAAGTTGTCAAAGAGTTCATTTTGCTTGGATCAACCATCAACACTCACACTCATGGAAGCAGCAGTCAAGAAATCAAACGACGTATTGCATTAGGCAAATCTCCTGCACAAGACCTTTATAAAGTGTTGAAGAGCAAAGATGTTAGCTTGAGGACTAAGGTGCACCTGACCCAAGCCATGGTATTTTCAATAACCTCATATGCATGCGAAAGCTGGACAGTGAATAAGGAAGATTGTAGAAGAATTGATGCATTTGAGTTATGGTGTTGGAGGAGAATATTGAAAGTGCCATGGGCTGCCAGAACAAATCTGTATTGGAAGAAGTACAGCCAGAACGTGCCCTAGAAGCCAGGATGGCCAGACTTTGTCTCTCTTACTTCCGACATATTGCCAGGAGGGACCAGTCCCTGGAAAAGGATATCATGTTTGGTAAAATGGAGGGTGGGAGAAAAAGAGGAAGACCCCCCCACCCCCCAATGAGATGAATTGGCACAGTGAGCTCAAAAGTAGCAATGATTGTGAGGTTGGTGCAGAACTGGGCAGTGTTTCATTCTATTGGTACTGATTTGATGGCTGGTGTGGCGCTGTGGGTTAATGCACCAGACTGCAAAGCCGATTGAACTGCAAGGTCGGTGGTTCAAGCTCACCATCTGCTCCTCAGAAACCTTATACAGGGTCACTATGGGTCGGAAACAACTCGATGGCATGTAACAACAACAACACCAACAATACCATATCTGGAGCTTAGAAGCTCTGGTGGCACAGGGGGGTTGGACTGCTAACTGCAAGATTGGTGGTTCAAACCCACCAGGTGTTCCTTGGGAGAAAAATGAGGTAGTCTGCTCCGGTGAAGTCCCAGAAACCCCAGAGGGCGCTGGGAGCTGGAAGGGATTTGATGACTGTGGGTTTTTCCAGCCCTTGGAGGGCTACAACTTTCTCATAAATCCCGTTACTGGACAGATGACTTCTACATTTTCAGTGTGACACCCTCTCCCCTGAAATGAATATTTTAAAAGGAAAGGATTGACACGTATTTTATTTTTTTTCAAGAAATTATGAGAAATGACCATAACTGTAGCACACCCCAAAGAAACCAACCAACAAAAAAGAGAAAAAGAGACCTTTTTTTAACAGTATCTGAAAACCTTTAAATTCTAGATTTGCTTATTTTGAAACAAACTTCCCAACAAGACAAAAGAAAATCAACACGCGCACGCACACACACACGTATGTATGTTTACGGCACATGTGTACACGTGGCTTTGACTTGCCAAGACAGCTTCAGGGCCATCTCCCTTGAGGACCAGAAAATCATCGGTTTATTTTGCTGTTCCCCCTCACCTTCCCTACAGACAAAAACCAAGGGTCGACTGTACAAATCATTCTTGGACATTTTCTCTGTCAGCTAAAGACCTCCTCTGCTTACAGCAAGCCACACAAGCCCCCAGTCCCCAGTGTCGCGGCGTCCACTGCTCGGGCAGCGGCCTGGCCAGTGCTTCCTGGCTCCTCACCGCTTCTTTGAGCGCCTCTGGGACGTCTCCTGGCTCCTGTGCTTCCTGGGGGGCGAGCGGCTGGCTCTGCTCCGAGGCTGGCTTCGGTGCTTGTAGGGATGGCTCCGGCGCTTCTTCGGGCTGTCTTCCTTGTGCGGCCGGCTGTGTGCAGGCTCCTCCTCACCCTCCTTTTGCTCCTGGTCTGACTCTTTGTGGGGGGGCAGCGTGTTCTTAATCGTGTTCATTAGGAATCTTTTATTTGTACCGGCTAGCGGACACTTCATCCTGGGCGGGTGGGGGCAGGAGAGAAAAAAGAAAATCCCAAGTCAACAGCTAACTCCCAAGTGGAAGCTCCCCCAGAAGGGAAAGGAATTAGGGCCAAAGAAATCCGTTTCCCAGAACCCAGTGTCTGCCTTTTCCCCTTGTCTTGCATGCCCCCTAGTGTAAACTCTGAGAACCAGGGGACACTCAGGACACTTGGATTCCTGAGAAGCAGGAGAGGGCTCAGCCGGATCTCCAGATCGGAACCCTTTCTTTCGTATTTGGGACTGACTTTCTGATGCAATTTCCATGTATAACCTGGTCGCTATGAGTCGGAACTGACTCAATGGCACTTAATAACAGTAAGTACTTGTATGTACTCTCCACCCCCTATTAGACGATGAGTTCCAAGACGGCAGGAATCTGATATTCGTTCAGATTTCTGTTTGGACTACCCAGAGGCCCCTGGGATATAACGTGCCTAGCAATTACTACACGCTCAAAAACATATGTTAGTTTAATGCTACTCTTTGATTCTGAAAATGCCACGTGTCTATGCTATACAAGAGCTCTGCTGGCATAATGGATTAGGCATTGGGATGCTAATCACAGGGTTGGCAGTTCAAACCCAGCAGCCACTCTGCGGGAGAAAGACTGCTGTCCTGGGACCTCCAGGAAGCAGCTGTACTCTGTCTTACAGGGTTGCTGGGAATTAGAATGGACTGGGTGGCACTGGGCTTGGGTTTGTGTGAGTGGAAGGGAGGGAGGGATGAGGGAAGGTTAGGGGTCAAACAGAGGAAGAGGAGAGTAGGGGAAAAGGACGACAGTAAAAGGGAGAGGGGGTGAGCGTCTGCGAAGCGCACATACACGGGCTGTTTCCCAGACTCAGAACTCACTGACCAGTAATGCTCACTTAGGAGTCCTAGGGTGGCGCTGTGGGCTACTGCGCTGGACTGTAACGTCAGTTTGAACCGCAAGGTCTGTGGTTCAAGCTCACTAGGTGCGCCTCGGAAGCCCAATACACGGTCACTATGGGTTGGAACTAACTCGATGGCATGTACTAGCATTAACAATGCTTACTTAGGATACCCTTCCAGAAAGAAACGAATGGAAATATACTAACACAAGCCTCCTAACGTTGGTCCCAGCTGTGCAAATCCCACAGAGCAGTTCTCCTCAGCAAAAGGGTTGGGCGAGGGAGGGTGGCAGGAGTTGGAATTTATGGGATGGCGACTGACAACAAGGAACAAAGAGTATCGACAATTTTCTGAAAAGGTTATTGGAATACTTCTTTTCCCAAATACGTATCTGTGTAGGGCTGGATTTTCTTCATATACTTCAGTCAAAAAACAAATACAAAAACCAGAGCCCAGGTTTCTGTCACAAGGCAGGTATGACTGTGCTTTGCAAAAACATTAAGGAATCAGTCCCTACCACACAGAGACCAGAAGACCTAGATGGTATCCGGCTTCCACCACCTGCTCTGAAAGGATCGAACTAGAAGGTTCTGGAGAGTGGGGGAGAAAAAGGTGGAACAAAACTCAAAAGTATCAAGACCAGGCTTGCTGGGTGGAAGCCCTGAGACCATGGCTCGCAGTCCCCCCTTCAGGTCTGGAACGCACCCCAGAGGCCCATAGCCAAATCTATGGGGGTGGGGGCCACACGGGTGTATCTGTGTAGAAACATGGTGTGTGGGATCTTGGGGGAGAGGCCGTGCCTTCCTTCTCGCCTTCTCCCTTCCTGTTAAGTGAAATGTGGATGCGTCACACTCCATGGTGGGGCGGGGGTCCTTCAGAATTCTGTGGAAGTGGTATCCTAACTGACACACTCCTCAAAGAGTACACGTCTGCTGCAGGCCCGGAACTGGGCGGGAGGGTTTCCCTATTCATCATCTCTCTGAAGCATCGAAGCCATCCTCCCAAGAGGGAGAACTGACCAGCATTTCGCTAAGTCTAAGATGATTACATGTTACTTACAGCTGACTCACTCCTGCCAGACAATTTCTCCTCATCCTATCAATTCATTTGTAAATACATCAGAGGGAACTTCTAAAACAGATAATGGCTTTTAAAAAATCAACATAATGGGGAGTCATTACCTAATGGGTACGCGGTTTCTGTCTCGGTGATGAAAAAGTTTTGGAAGCAAATAACGGTGATGGTTGCATAATAAAGTAAAATAAAATAAACTTAACAGCATTATCACTATCAGAGCTAAAAAAAATGCACATTAGCTACTTCGCTAAGTCAGATATCCCTAAGTGTGTCAGCGTTGTCTTTTAAGAGGGAGTTTGTTTCAATAAGGATCTGAATGAGTGAGACTTCTGACTCCATGAAATGGTCGTTAATATGTTACAGCAGCTGCACTGTTGGTCCCGCACAATCCCCCACGTCAGGGTTTTTTTTGGTCACTGTGACCCTCCCTTATAGCCTGCACACCAGAGGCCTGATGAGATGTTTTGACAAGGATGTCCCCCAGGAGGTGGTGCGGTCTGTTGACTCTGAAGACTGAACAGGGCTGCAGGTGATCCCAACCTGGTCCGCCCATCAGAGGTTCCAAGATCTCTGCCAACATCCACTCTACCATTAAAGCAAAATCAAAGTAAGGCAAACCCACTGCCAGTTCTGACTCAGCGCCCTACGGGACCAAGCAGAGCGGCTCCCCACGGTTTCTCATGCCGTCAGTCTTTAGGGGAACAGACAGCCTCAGTCTTCTCTCGTGGCGTGGTTTCTGGGCTTGAACCACCGACCTTTTGGTTAGCAGCCCAACTACTTAACTCATGGCACCACCAGGACTCCATACACCCCAAAAACTTAGAATAAATTTTTATAAACAAAATACAAATTCACTGTGATTTACGAAGGACTATTGTCCATAGGGAGCCCTGGTGTGGCGCTGTGGGTTAATGTGCCAGACTACAAAGCTGTTTGAACAGTAAGGTTGGCGGTTCAAGCTCACCAGATGCTCCTCGGAAACCCTTTACAGGGTTGCTATGGGTCGGAACCAACTCGATGGCACTTAACAACACAAGCCATACAAGTTCTGGTGTGGTGCTGTGGATAAGTGCTCGACCACAAGGTCAGTTTGAATTGAAAGGTCAGTGGTTCAAACTCACCAGCTGTTCCTCAGAAACTCTATAAAGAGTCACTATGGGATGGAATCAGCTTGATGGCACTTAACAACAACAACATAATCCATACAGCATATCTGTAGGCTCAACACTGGACTGCAAGTCACAAGGCCATTGGTTTGAGCCAACCAGCCGCTTTCTGCTCCTGCAAAGATTACCAGTCTTGGAAACCCTATGCAGGGTCGCTGTGAGTCGGAATCAACTTGATGGCACTTTAAAACCATACAATCCACGCAGACATTCTTACGCATATAGTGCATTTATACTGGACTGCAAAGTCGTTTGAACCACAAGGTTGGCGGTTCAAACTCACCAGCCACTCCTAGCAAACCCTATGCAGGGTCGCTGTCAGTCAGAACTGACTGGATGGCACTTCACAATAATATAATCTATGCAGACATTCTTAAACATGTAGTGCATTATCTCGCAAAGGAACAAGTATCTGGCTGACTGCAGAACAAGGTAACTTCAAACAGTTCGTGGAAAAATGGAATAAAGTGTTTGAAGCGCCCTGGAATCTGCCCATCACTCAAGGACTTGGTAACCAGGGGCTAATAAAGCCGTCACATACATCCTGCAACACACAGCTCTGAGCCTGCTTCTCCACAGCAAGGGGAGAGGTGGCCTGTCTCCCACCCTCAGCAGCATTCCTCTTCTCCCTTGCGCATGGGCGAGAATCCCATGGTGCTGCAGTGTGCTCTACGCTGCAGATGGACACGCTTTGCGCTCCAGCTACATCTCCCTGCCTTTCGGTTACAGAAGGACTTACCAGCCCATCGGGCCCATGGTTTCTGCTCTCGTTTTCCCACGTTTTGCCTCCTTCAGCAGTTCTTCTATGGCTTTCCTGGTGGGAGGGAGAGAGGAAATTTGAGGTAATCATTCCATTAAGTTCTGAAAAAAACAAATTCATGTCACTGAGATCATGGGAAAGAAACAGACTTTTTTTTAAGTCTTAATTTTCTTTAATACTCAAATCACAAAGCACTAAACTAGGAAGCAGGGAACATGGGTTCTATTCTGGATCCTTTTCCTATGCTTGCTCTATGATCTTGGTTAAGTCATACACGCCCTTATTTTATTTTTTCCCCATTCCCTCTGTTTTTCTTTCTTTTTTGGGGGGTGGAGGGGTGGAGGGGTGGGGAGATGTACACAAAAACACTCAGGAATATATAATCATTTAAACAACCAAAGGACACATTCTGCAAGCCTGCCTCCTGGTCGCCAGCACACAGCCTTTCTCTTCCCGTGAGTCTAGAGTCCTCAGCTGCTCCCTCTCTCCATGTCCCCATCTCTGCCTCCATCTGTGGTATTGCTACTTGTCCAGATAGGGTCCCATATTCGGCTTGTGCCCTTCTCCCATGATGGTCTTAGGGTCCTCTGTTCCTGGACTGTAAGATTAACTACTCCCTCGAAGAAACAGCCTTTTGAAACTTGCTAAGTGGGGCAGACATTCTTTTTAAGAAATGGGTCACCGTTTTTAACTTATTAAAACTATTGCTGAATTGAAAACGGATCCGCTCACCTAACTCACATTTTTTTTTTTTTAAAAAGTTTAAAAAGAAAGAAAACCACCCAATTTTTACATGAAGGGAGAAAATACTGAAAAGAAAAAGAAGAAACAATGACAAATTGGAAAAATATTTGCAGCGTGTGACAGTGAAATCATAAATCCTTAAAAAGAATTATATTCCTTTTCTTATCAATTTGGAAAATAACCAAAAGATAGGAATGGAAAAACACATGAGGGGGCTTCAAAAAGCTTGTGGAAAAATCAAATGGAAAGACAATGGATTTTTTCCATGAACTTTTTGAAGCCCCTCTGGAGATCCCTACTGTTGTTGCTGCTCTTAAGCGCTGTTGAGTCGGGTTATATAGGGTTTCCGAAGAACGGCTGGTGAGTTTGAACCGCCATCCTTGTGGGTTCAGAGCTTCTCTTACAGCGCCCCACCAGGAGGCTCAAATTTACTATTATTCTAAGAAATGCTAATGATTCCAACAACTGACAGCAGTCACAATCCCACCCACAGTGAGTGTACCCGAAGGCCAGCGCGCCACTTCCTCTCACTCCCTTCTCACTGTACTTCTACCTGTCTGTTTTGTTTTGTTTCATTTTGCCATTTCTCTGCCAATGGGGACTTAAGTTGATGTAGCATTTCTGGAACCATATTTGGCCACACGAATAGAAAACATAGTACAAACTTGTGGACCTAAAAATGTCATTTTACTCTAAGGAAATATTTAGATAAGTAGGCAACACCATATGCACAAGAGGCTGCTCACAGACCACTGGTTAACAACTTAACAAGAAACAAACAGAAAACCTAAATATTTGCTACTAACAGATTGGGTCAATAAATCATGACAAAGCCATGTGCCACAAGATTGGTTACGTGCCATCGAATAGGTTCCTGTATAGGTTTCCAAGGAGTGGCCGGTGGGTTTGAACGGTTGACCTTGTGGTTCTCAGTCCAATGCTGCTCCTACAGTACCACACCAGGACTCCTGCTAGAAGGTGGTTGTTGTTGTTGTTGTTAAGTGCCATTGAGTCGGTTTTGACCCATAGCAATCCTTCATAGGGTTTCTGAGGAGCAGCTGGTGAGCTTGAACCGCCGACTTATCAGTTCAAATGGCTTTGCAGTCTGGAGCATTAACCCGCAGCGCCACACCAGGAGCCCGCTAGAAGTTCAGGCCACCATTAAACAGGAAGACACATGGGTACTTGATCCACGAAGACGATTCCTAACATACTAGGCCTATAAGGCTGGCTACAAAAGAACGTGTCCAGGATGACTGCAGCTGAAATGTATTTACAGGTGCACAGTGTATACGAAAACATTTGGATAATGAATTTTTGTGATGTTTTGTTCATTAATTATCATTCTGCTCGCTTCTCTGAGTTTCCAACTTTCTCTTGAATGAATGAACATACATTATTTGTGTAGTAAAAATAATAAAGAGGTAAAAGAAAACCAGAAAGCTTCTTGCTGCGCAGTCTTCTGAGTCTTTACTATGTGTGAAATATGAGATCAAGGTGCTACAGGCTAGTAACATAGGAAGAGAATCATCCCTGACCTTAATATGACTTATGATACTGCACAACTACCAACTGGGAGCATGGTGGATTTGTAGGGTATAATCTGTGAACCACAAGATTGGTGGTTCAAGCCCACCAGCTGCTTGCTCCATGGGAGAAAGATGAGGCTGTCTGCCTCTGCACAGATGTACAGCCTCGGAAATCCTGTACAGTGCTGCTTGAGTGGGAACCAACTTGACGGCACAACTCAGTCTTGTCATCCGACATTTGCATTGACAGTAATAGTAAATGATGTATGGACTGCTTTGCACTGTAATGAATGCCGAGGTGGGAGGCTGTGTGCTTAGGGTTCGCTGTCAATCTGGTCAGGCCGTGACTCTCAGTGGTTGGCAGTGATGCAATGACGTAACTTCGCAGTTGTGCAATGGTTCCTTGGGTGTAGCTGTATCACTCCAATCTCTGCTTCTGTCTTCCCAGAGCCCTCCCTCCGGTACCTGTCTCTTCCTGCCCCGGGTCAGACTGGATTAGGGCTCACTCTACTCAAGTGTCACCTCATGCTAACTTAAACTATGGGAGCATGGTGGTTCAGTATGGTAAGCCCTGGATTGTGAACCACAGGTAAAAGCGGCTTGAGCTCACCAGCTATTCTGTTCCGGGAGAGAATGATGAGGCTTTCTGCTCCCGCAAAGATGTACGACCTCAGAAACCTTATATAGGGTTGCGATGGGTCAGAACCGACTTGATGATACTTAACAACAAACTCATTAAAACTGCGGCTACCTGCTCATTTTTTGAGGATGGTAAGGGCTGTTCCTAGGAGAACTTCACTGGTAAACCTCACCCCATCCACCCTCTAGCTCTCACCTCGCCCTTCCAGATGTGTGTTTGTTTCCCAAATTCAAGGAACAGAATTTAAATCCTTTGAAGATGCCCAAGCTGCCGTTCTGACGTGGTTTAAAATCGACGCACGCAGAGTTCTTCGGGGAGAGGTTAGAGAGGGAAACACCACCTTCGGAAGCGTGTGGACCCAGATGGAAGATGTTGAGAAGCAATCGTCTCACATTTTGACAAGTTACTTTCATAAAGCTTTCTGATTTTGTAGCAATACTTTTTGACTTAATCTTATATAACAATCAGCAGTCTTCAGTATCATTCTTTGTTATCCACGAAAGAAAAAGAATTTAAATTTTTTGTTTTTAAAATAACCTGTTCCTCTTGGTATTTACTTCCTATTTTTAAACAATGTGCTTTCAAACTACTTCACCACCCTCTTGATCTTCAACAAATACATCTGAGTATCTGTGAATCTCCAGTTAAGCATTTTAAAGGGATTCCTGGCGTGGAGCTGTAGGTTAAGCAAAATCGGTCAGAGGACTGCTAACAACAAGGTCAGAGGTTCGACCCACCAGCTGCTTCTCAGAAACACTACTCAGGGTCTCTGGGAGCAGGAACTGACTCAACAGCACTTTACAACAGCTACTAGTTGTCGTTGTGAGCTGCCGTTGAGCTGTCCCCAAATCATGGACATCTGTGGCCTGGGAACGACACGCCGTCCCTAGGATCCGCTGCAGTATGGACCATGATTTTCAGAAGTACATGGCCAGGACTTTTTCCTTGTCCATCTTAGTCTGAAGGTGCCAACAATCCTGGATGTCCGCCAGCGTGGGGGGGGGGGGGCACCACCCCAATCACTGTTGCATGCTGTGTTCACACTTTGACTCTTGTGTCTCCGCTGATAGATGGGGGGGGGGGGATGAGGGTGTGGACGTGTTGGCTGGGGGTCAAACTGGATCTCTCACATGGAAGGCGTGAGTTCTACCACGGAGCCCCAATGCCCACTCAGCAGCCTGACACCTGGTGATCAATGCTGGGTGCGTCCCTGAATGGGCAGAGACGAACAGAAACACACCTGGGTTCCCAGCCCAGCCGTGTAGGAGCGTGAAGAGACACGCTGCCGCCTGGACTTTCTTAGACTACAGCTACTCCTCCTACTGATGTCATCCAGGAGCCCTGGTGGCTCTGTACGGTAAGCACTGGACTGCTAACCACCAGCTGCCCTGCGGGAGAAAGGTGAGGCTCTCTGCTCCCGTAAAGACTTCCAAGCCTCGGAAACCCTATACAGGGTTGCTATGAGTTGGAATCAACCAGATGGGAGTGGGTTTTGGTTTTTATGTCATGTGGGGATTTGGTTTCATAAGGTGATCCAGGGAAATTTACCCTCTCAAGCTCCTAAACAGATCCGTCTTCAGTCTTACAGATGGAACTTAAAAAAAAAAAAAAAAAAAAAATTCAAAGGCAAAAATATTCCAAAGATTCCCCCTTTCGGTAAGTCACGATGACAGGTTCTAACTAAAATCAGGTGGTCAGTCACGCTATTCTCCTGACTGCTCAAATCATCAGGCAAAACAAACAGACAGACTTGTTCGGGCAGCTCCTCAATTTGAACAAACAATGTGTCAGATTATGAATAAACGAACACACATCTCCCCAGAAACACTGGGTGAAAATGTTTGCCTAGCCTTCTGCGCCAGCCTGCAGACACCAGGAGTTGAAAACACTGTTAATCTTGCAGACCCTAAAAGCAGGTTCTCGACACTTCCAGGAGCTAGGAGTCTGAAGTGGATTCCTACATCTGTAGTTTCGATTTTACTTAAAAAGCCATCTCTCCAGAATTGGTCAACCTACCCCAGCTGAGGGTTGCTCTCTGCTTTAGGAGTGTAAGCAGAGAGGAGAGGAGGGTACGTCCAGGAGAAGGGCTGCCTGAGGGGCTCATGAGGGAAGAGACGTCTCTTCCCATGGGGAA